GTTTTATGTTCCAGAGTAATTTAAGGAGGACCTAAGTAAAAACAAAAGTCAACGCTAATCAGTTAAAACATCCCGAGATCATGATGTTGAGTCTCTCAGAGTCTCTGAAAGCGAGACTCGAGTTCTCATCGAGTCTCTCTGGTGTCCCTGAGAGACTGTCAAAAAAACTGTTTAGCGTCTATGAACGAGATCCTCGAGTCGCTCATAGAGAGATCCTCATTTCGTATCTAGTCTTTGAACGAGAGACTCGAATCTCTCAATAAGTGGTGTCTCGATAGACATGGTTAAAATTTCAGTTCAACATATTTCAGAGGTCCCAGTCTTTCTACGAGAGACTGCAGTCTCTCAATTTTTCAGTTTCATTCATTCAGCTTCTCTGTGAAAGACTCGAATCTGTGAATTAACAATTTTATCGTTCGACTCTCTCATACAGAGACTGTGAGAGATCCATAAAAGTACTTAGGCAATAACTGACAGACTGTGAGAGACGCTCTCAGAGACGCTGAAAGACTCTGAAAGACTGTGGGAGACTGGGGAGAGACTAAAAATTTTTGTCTAGGGATATCAGTACTATACTTCTTTGAAGATTTTCTTTGCTAATAATTCATCTATTTTTGCTTCCGTAAAAGATGTAGGATGAAAGTTCGTATTTTAAGGCTAACTTGTTGCTATATTAAAAAAGAAATATGAATAAGATTTGCAAGAAGACAAGTCATAATATACCTTGACGTACTACGAGCTTTTAGTTTTAGAAATACCGGTAGCATTTTGCAGAGGATTAAGTGTTACAAATACTATTACATAATATACTTTGTTAACACCATGCTCCCTGACTAACTGCTTGCTTCTAATTTATTTAAGCAATGAATTAATTAAGACCCAAGAATGCCTTAAATGTACCTGCATGTACCTGTTCTATTAAATATCTATATACAGGAACAGTTGGTATGAATTCTGTATTGTATTAAACAGAATAAGGTTTTCATAATAGTTTTAAGCAGTTGTTTGCGGTGTTTTCATCTTATCCTTTTTTTAATAACTATACAGTGTGTAACAGAAACAAGTACCGAGCTTGAAGGAAAATTAAGTCAATGTTTGTATATCCGAAAGTTCACCGTATTGAAAGTACGTCAAGGTAAATTCAATTCCGACCCTGGCAAAGAAATACGACCCGTAACGCTGCACTCAATGAGCTGGTAATTACTAGCGTCAGTGTTGTATTCGTTTTGGATTTTGTGCTCATGATGTTAGATTACATTGTGTGAGTGTGGGTGTGGTTTAGGGTGTTTATGTTAACAGCCAACCTCTAGTAATTAAACCTTGTATAAGGCAATCAATATGCAGTTCAATAAACCAATTAAGTAATACATTGATCATTAGTGTAGGTCAGTCACTGTAGTTACAATAATATAACATGATACGTCATTACACGTGTGAACCTTATAGCCACATAATCGGCAGTGTTTACATCCTCTATCCATGTAGCTGCAGAGTTTTTACCGCACTGCGTCATTCGGTAGACACCTTTGTTGTCAATTCACACACAGGTCCGGCTTTAGATAAACTTTTTTGTCGTTAATCACGCTGTGGAACCCAACGTGTAATTCTTGATAGCATCTGGTTTACACCCTTCAAAGCTCGGCATTTATTTCTGCTACACCCTGTATAATCAGACTTCCATTTAATTTTACGTTATGTTAATAACGGTAGTTTCGAAAGCAAATCAAAAATTAGTTAGATAATTTTCTATATTTTGTAATATTTCGGGCTATTAAACTTTCTACTTACACATGACAGAACATTATACCAGTAATATTTTGTTAAGTGGTGTGTTTCCCAGAAGCCTCAAAACTTTAGGGAACTTTTACAAAAATAGGTCAACCTTTCCTGTCTTCACTTTATTTTATCAAATCCTGTAGAAACTTCGCAAACTAAGTAACTTGGTATAATACTGTCTTGACTAAAACTTAAAACACAGATTTACTTTGCGTTTTTCAAGAGACAACGTTAATGTAGTTGTATACTGGCAAAACAAATTTAAACTTGTTGTAGTTTTTAATGATCGAGTTTTCTATAAATAAGACGTTCCGAAGCTTTTGTAAATGTTTTTTTAGTTTACGCTGATAATGAAAAAAGAAAACGGAAATTGTGTTTCAGTAAAATTTTTAATTACGGACTTGACGTGTCAGAAGCCATTAATTTTAAAAATATCTTATTGCAACAGAATACCATTAGACGATTGTTCTATCTGCGGTGTGAATTTTAAAAGATTGAAGAAGTTTGAGAGTTTTAATACAATCAAAACTTTTTCCAAAGTTTGCATAAGGTGAACTTCGACTGAAAATGTGTCTAAATATTATTCTTGCACCGAGGTTTCTAAGGAAGAATGAATGTTTCATACATCATTCGCATAACTTTTACACCATTCATTTGACAAGACGACATTTGACATTTTTAAAAATAGAGCTGGGCGGCTTCCCGTTCATATGCATTGAATAATACATAAGAAAGTTTTTAAAATATTGGCAAAAGTTCACGTCTTGTCTCTGATGTCAAACCATTACTTTAGTTAACTCTCTAGGATGAAAAATTGCTGATACAGAGAAATGCTAAATCTTATTGTTTTCATAGGTACAATTTTATATGAAAACTATATAAGTATATTAGTTACGCCTGTGAAACATTCTTTGTGAACTAGTCTATCGTCTGAAGAAGCCACAAAGTCATACGTATAAGTTGCCTAATATTGGCAGACAGTTGGTGTATAAAATTCAGTTTTGGGAAGGTATTACCGTACATTCTCCCTTTCAACTCCTTACGGAAACCTACCGGCTACGCTTTTCATCAAATTAATTTGCGATTAGGTCCGCATCGTCCATAAATGGCTCGCTTGATGTTTCAATATGCAGGACGGTAACCGCAGTGTATAACCTCGTCCTTCAAACTCATTTAATATTTACCCCTGCATCGTGATATTGCGGCTTTACGACCGGAGTACACAAGTTGGGCGTTAAATTGTAAGACATTTAGATGCGGGTCGAAACAACGATGTGCTGGCGGAATTTTGGTTTTACGATCTCGAAGAACATCAGGGTCTTCTCCACTTGTACGGTCGTGTTGGATTTTCAGCCGGGCTTTTGATTAAGGCGAATAATATAATAGTACACGATATGAGGCACCTGTGCTTCTTCTTTTCCATTAATTGGCGGCGATCTTACGTACAATTATAGATACGGATAATAAATTTGTCATCAAGACAATGTTGTAAAGGTATTAGGAAGAAATCTTTTGTTTCGTGTGGTATTTGATTTATGTTTTTATTTACGATTTGCTGATTTATGAGGCGCTCAATTTTTTATCAATTTGGTATGTGTAATGTCCCTCAGAAATTGCTAAATCCTAATATGTTGTTGCGCCTTGAGTGTGAGGGAAAGTTAAACGTTTCGGTTTTTAGCCGTTCGTGATTCTAAGGCAGTTTTCCCAAGCGACCTCTTGGTCAACGGAAAATAAATTCACGGCGTGCAAAAAGGAGAATCGAAAGTTCGCTATTAGGGTCGACAAAGGGGTCGTAAATTCGTCGGCTTGAAAAGGGACTCTCTTCCTGGCTGACACTCGCATGTTGTCATACAAGAACAAGAACATGGAACTTTTATCATAAAACCCCCGTCCTTGGCACAGACGTAGCGGACGACTCAATTTTCGACGGGACGTTTTCTCTGATGTTGGCGTGGCATATACTTGAATGTGTCTCGTTTTGGGATGTGCCGATCGTATAAAGGGTCGTATAAATGTGCAAATTTACCCTACTTCGCTCACGTTATTACATCGAATAAGCCGTATTTATGTCCTACTCGAATCCTTCCACGTGAACGCGACAACGGGGCCTTACTTTTCATTTCATCGGTGCAATAAAAGTTCTAAAAGTAACTTCTCCTTATAGAAAAATAAGTTTTCCTACTTAGATGCTTTATGTAAACTATAACTAATTTTAACGCAAAATAAATTGGCAGTCCTGAAATTATTCCTTAAAAAACTTATATGCTGTGCTGGCATTTCTAAAAAAACTACTTTAACGTGGACGGCTGCATATTTTTATGCACGAGGATTATAACCGACTGGACCCTTTTTATTTCGAATTTAATGTCCTCTGAAGCAAATGTGAATTTTATGAACGACCAGAACGAATGCACGTTTAGAAGATTCATATTTTTAAACGGTGAAATTGAGTTTTTGGTTATTGATTTCATTCGTTTTGTTCGGCCCCAAATATGCATTTTCCAGCAGCCGGTTGACCTCAAATGAGTATCCCCGAATTCATTTCATTCATCTTGCTGATTTGGTACTTTTTCATATGCACGAATTGGTGTCCAGCGAAGCGTATAGAAGCGCACTTACGGCTGAAATAAACCGTTTGAAATGACCGCATGTCCGAACAAACAACGCTCCGGGGAAGTCAAGAGGGCAAGCATTCAAACAAATATCCGCACACTGTAGTGAAATGTAAACAGTTAATGTTTATGTAAACGCCAAATTTTTGTTTCGTTTGATCGTCGTAGATGTATCTACTGTTCTGTTTACTTATATTTTGTTTCACTATCTAGGTCATTACAGAATGAAAATGATGCCACAATGTTTTCCACTTAATTAATGTGCTATTAAATGCATACATATGTGATGTATCAACCACATACGTTCGCGTTATACCTAAAATACGTTTAGTTTAAACTGCAGTTTCTGCCTCCGAGTATTCGGTTGCTTTATGCACTAATCTAATTACTCCACTTCAACCACATTAAGTTCAACTAAATGAAAAGCTTTATTATTAAGAGTTTTGGACTAAGAAATCGTATGTATATTACACTGCATTTAGTCATATAATTGTCTCGATTAAACATCTATCTTAATTACTGTGGGTAGACCTTGCATCCTTGCGGTAGATACTAATTAAACACTTTATTCGTCGATATTAAATGATTCATGCTTCCTTTTTTCTGTTACAGAAAGGGCGTTATTTCCATTGATGGGATGATTCCTAATTGAAACTCAAACTACTTAAGGAAACCGAAAGGTAAGTGTTAGAAATAACATTTTATCTCGGCGCAAAAACAATAAACTTGTAAAGGGTAGAAATTATTGACCCTGTTGGCCTTTAAGTAGTTTCAGATCTTTTGATTCTTGTGCGAGCAGATTTAGCAATAATTATGTAGGTGTAGATTAAGTGGTGTCGAAAATGATAACAATATTTGAACTGTGATAGTCGTCTATGACTATTAACAATCGCATTTTGCTGATAAACAGTCGCATTCACTAGCCAGTGTAAGCTCTAATTTCATTCGTTTCTCAACGTTCATTGACCTTTAATTGCTTTTGTGTCACGTTAAAGCGCGCTTACTGTAGTTGTTTTAGTGCATTTCCGGAAATAAAAACTGAATTTTTCTCCACTAGATGACAGCTATTTTGGGAGTCGTTAGTTATTTCGTTATTAAGAATTCAATCCTCTTATTTATCATGTCTATCAACGATCGACAAAAGATTCACCTTATTCCACCCTCGTCGCTTATTTTGGAACACTTTCCCGTTTAAACAGCGGAACATCTACTTCAACTTCATTTAATCATTAGAAAAAGGGAACCTCGAAAAGTAAATATTGATTTAGGGTCAACTCTTTGATAATTTATCCGCAAGCAGCTTTGTTTCCTTTATATACATATATATATAAGTGCCTTCCATCTACGACGAGCGACGCGTTGGGTCTTTTATTTGTGAAAAATGTGCGTGGCAAGAAAAGGAAATCGACCTGAATCACTAACATCGTTCCGTTCCTAAAAGGATTTGTTGGTCTCGATTTTATCGCCTTGTTCAAGTGGCTATTTTACGCCTAATTGATCGCGTTTCACGCGCGCTACGAATTTCCGTGGAGTCTCTAGACAAACGCTGCATAATGCTTCCGAAGAGGTTTTTATAGGGACAAAAGATTGCCGCTCATAAAGTACTTTGGCGTTACGAGACTTAGGGGACATATTTTCGCTACGACCCATATACAAGAGTCATTAACGACATCACTTCACGTGATATTACTTAAATAAACAAGTAAATTATTTTAAGGACAAGGTATCTTTTTGAAGTAGCAAAAACGCAAGAAAGGATAGAAAAGAGACCAGTTAAACGTCGATATTCGATCATAGGATCATAAGGAAGATAGAACCATATAAGTGCCATGTCAATCGACAATTATATGATCATTAATTAATTAATAGTAGAAGGATTTACTTGTTGAAACACAATAATCAATTGAAAAGTTTCAAAAANTTTATAGTTAAAACTAATTACCCCTGTACAAAACTTAATAATGATCGGTTGAGTATTTAAGGCGTAAAATGGTAGCAAATAATCAAACAAACAGTAATACTGGTTAGGATAACTAAACCAACTACAATCTTACCCAAAAGGGAAAATACCAAGCATGCAACAATTGTGGGCTTCATTTTCTTGAAAGCGGACTCTCAGGTAATTCTTTTAAAATTTTAAAAATTATCATTAAAAGTGTGTTTCTCCTTTAATAAATATTCTGCATATGAAACAACCCTTGTGAACAATTAATATGTATTGTTGAAACTTTACTTTCGTTTTCTTTATTTTAATATATCATCATTCAAAATTTGAATTTTAGTATTACCAGAATAATCCCTTAAACTATAATATTTTTCTCTTTTTGATCTTATATTAGGTACCCTTCTTGAAGATTATATTTTGTGGTTGATTAAGGTTGCTCTCATTTGAAATTTAATCTTATAATGTTCTCGTATTTCGGAGTTTGTTTAATTAAAGTCGTTGGTCAGATTTAAAATGAACGCGGAGCTCCTACATTTAGCCCTTTGATTATATCATACATAATTATAGATTCAAAGGTACCTATATAATGTACGCGTTTATCTTTATCAACTTTTCGTGACCGAAATTCCCTTATTCTGTTAATTCTGCCGGTGAAGTAACTCATCGGGACGCTTAATCCAGTTGCATATATGCAGCACGGGAATCGAAGTAAATAACTAACAGTTATCGTTCATTTCCATATCGAAGTTTGTAAATAAATGCTACGAAGCGTGCATTGTACGTATACAGTGCAGCATTCCATTATAACCATTATTTGCTGTTTAATCCTTTCACCTCGGCGCAAAGTTGGTTGGATTTGTGTTAATACATCCTGCCATGCGTTAATTTGAACTAAGCTTAAATTGTTGGCCGTACTCCAAACATTGTCTGCTTGCCGTTTCCCATTGTTTTCCTTTCGGCATGCAAAGGTATTGTTAATAATTGCCAAATATAATATCTTTGTTATATTAACATTTAACATAATTTGTAAAGTTTAATATACCCATTACTGGCCTTCTGTATGAAATTTGGTAGCATGGATTAGGAAATTACAATTTAACATATTCTCTGAGAAGTAGAAAAGTGCTTCATAGATATTTATTAAATATTTTAAGTGACTCATCTACATAAGTATTGCTGGTTCGTTATTAGACTTTACGTTAAAATATTATAAATACCTAGTATAATTTTTATTAATCAAATATTCCAATTCATATTTTAGTAAGATCTTTTACTGATGCGTTTAGTGTGGATATAATTTACCCAAGCTTAACATTAAGTAATGAGACTAGTTTTAAAATATTTATTTGTCTATTTGCTGTTTTCACGAACCAAAAAAGAATAAAACTTTTTTCAGCTTCTTTTTCATTTCGTATTGACATGTTTCGTTCATAATTTACCTTATTAAATATGGGAAACATTATTTATATTCCGGTAATGTTCGTGATCCATTTTCGAAGAACTGGCACGTTAGTGTAAACGCCGTAGGAACCAGCACGTGCGCATCCATAACCCCATGACACTATACCAATTTGACCATAATCGTGAGCGATTAATGGTCCTCCGGAATCACCCTGCGTATGACATACTATATTTAGATTATTAAAATCCAATTCTTTGTAAAATTGATCGATAAGAAATAGAATAAATGCTACAACATCAATCAATCACATCAAACAAAAAAAACGAGTATCCACGAGTGAGAAATTGTAAAATTAAAGTATAAAAGCGTTTGAATTATAAACTAGTCTCTGTCTCAAACAATTATGGATTGTGGATTGTAACAAACTTCTTTATGTAATTAAGACGAGCACAGTAGCAAGTCTTACAGTAGTTGTCATTGAAGATTGTCAAGGAGAAAAAATCGTTAATATATATCTACCACAGAAAGACTAAGACGAAAACGTTTTTCCATTGTTATAGCCTTTAGGATAAAAATATCAATCAGTGATCAATGATTTTAGGCTCGCCTCTAGATAAACTGATAAAAAAGGTAATTTACCTGGCATGAGTCACGACCTCCTTCGCTATAACCTGCGCATATCATATTTTCGGTGATTTTATGTGCGCCGTACCGTTCTTTACAAACATTTCGAGACACAATTGGTACAGAAACGGCCTGCAAATATGTCGATATTGTGCCATTTTCTACCATACTTCCCCATCCCGTCACAACTGCTGCTGTACCGTCAGGAATTTCGATGTTAGCGGGCGCTAAAGAAACCGGCTGAATTCCTTTTTGAATGCCGAGATGAGACTGCAATAAAATTATTGCGATATCATAGTCTAACGAAGCAGGGTTGAATTTTTCGTGCTTATACACTTTAGCAGCGCCCACTTGTATACCCAAGCTGCGAATGGAAGATCCGGCACGGATTGAATATAGTGAAATAAACCTCCTGAACAAAGAAAAACTGTTTTGAGTCATGTAATTGGTAGTATACCGCCATCTGTAGCTATTTACTACTAACCGTAACTAACTAACTCGTAGGGTCTAGCCAAACCCAACGAAATGCTACGATCAGTCCTAAATACCTCTAGATTATCATATACCTCACTGAATTGATAATAATCAATTTTGGTTTATGTTGATTATATTATTCTATTATATATATACATGTTTTTTAAAATTTAATANTATTATATATATATATGTTTTTTAAAATTTAATATAACCTCAATTAGTCTGGTTGTTGAACAATCAAAATTTCATTTAGTCCAATCATCATCATGGTTACCTCGGCACATAACGCCTTCTTCAGGTTGAAGTTTAATTAATTTCTTTTGTTTACTATATTACCAATTATATCAAAGTATCAGTAAAAACTGACAACATAACTCACCATTTGATACAATGGGCGGCTGTAAGAATCAATTGGGCAGAAATAATTGATCCACCGCACAAATGATAGTTGTAAAATGCAAGTGAAACTTGATAAGGCACCACATCTATGGCAATTGGCCAACCTTCAACGATTCTACCATTGAGCAATGGAGCTGTTGTTTTAAGATTTTCTACTGTAAATCCTGGTGAAAATATATTAATAATTCACAAATTAACCCTGAATTAATTAGCAATTAACAATTTGAATTCATTGTTTGAGCTTTTACTAAGTGTAATTAGTTTAATGTTAATTAGTTGATGATTGTTAAATGTGCTTATTAATGATAATTACTTACCCAAAATTAAAGGTAAAAAGTAAAGAATAAATACTGTCTTTTTCATGATGTTGGTAAAACTGTGATAGGTACTGGGTTTATTAGAGGATATCGCTTTATTATAAACCATTTATTCACCCGAACTAATATTATCTTGTTGGACTAGTCATTTTTATCTTCAACTGATTGCTTACAAGTAAACTTTATTGAATGGGTAAATTACCTTCACCTAACAATAGAGAAGAGTAAATATTTTGAAGAAATTTCTTCAGAGATTAATGTCAGCAATTAAAGATAGTATGTATTAGGTACCTAATAATAGGAAGGTAGGTTGGTAGGTACTCTTTTTTTTTTGTAAATATTACTTAAAACATTTATTCATGAACAAACACTATAAATAGATATGAAATTCGTTATAACACAATTACTTATCAATTATCAGTCCATCAGGAAAATTTTAACTCATAGAAGAAACAAATACTTAAAATTAAGTAAACTTAATTTGTTTCAAGTATTTATTTATAACTGTGGTTAAGATTTCTTTAGAGTTTTGGTGAACGTTTAATAAGAATTCTAAAACTTTTGCCCGTAATAATTTATTTATACCTAATCACGAAAATTAAATATCTTCGAATGAAATTTCAAGCATCAAAGACAAATTGACGGAAAATAAGAAAACTAAAAAGTTCATCTACAAGGAACTAGTAAAGTGTTCAAGTAAAAAAGCACGATGCTTTCGTCGACCTTTTATTCTTGTGAAATTGTATGAGAACCCGTAAAATTCTTATTTCCGAAATTATCATCACAGAACGCTCCATTTCGTTAACTTACTTTTATATTGGTTGGCATTCTTCCTAATATCTGTTTTATAACCAACGAGGACCACTATATTATTCCTTGAATTTAGTTTTATTGGTTCAATTGAGTTACATTTGAGTTATTCGGTATTGACTTTTTAAACTGATATTTTATGAAATTGTTTCGTACAGCTTTATACAATACCACCAACCAAAACATAAGAAAATAGTTCTGTTATTTATTAAGGTGAAGTTAGTTGCATTGTTTTTTTTTGTAGAAAATATATTAAAAGAAAATTTAATCTTTTTCTAAATTCAAGAAACAATTTATTAATATCGATGGTTGTTGTAGGTTGATGAACCAAAAGTTTTAAAAATCAGAAGTGATAGACAGTTAAATTTTAGACCATTTCTTGTGTTTTTGGTTACTTATTTAAAGTAAACTGCACCACTTTAAGTTTCTAAAATTATAGAAATTTAGTCCGTCGTTATCCTGATTGAGTCTGTACATGACGTTTCGGTTGCTTTCCGTTGCGCTTGTAGTTTTACTATAGCCTAAGGTTACGCTTACAAGTTACGACGAAAATTAAATACCAAACGTTTGATTTTCAACAGTTCCGCCAACGGTTTCCTTTCGGACCCATTTTCGGTATTTGCTCGTACTCTCTGTGGTTATTTAATGTTTGGATTGCTGTTTAAACAACGAACTTTGCTGACCTAAGCTTTGAACCAACCTGTAATGCATTCAGTTCAACAAAGGCCGGATTACTTTGAAGTTGATTATTATTAGCTCGCGACATTTGCCTTTATATATACCTGACTGTAAAAACTAACTGGTTATCTTTACCTGCCAAATAATTAACGTCGAATTGCATCGGGGTAGATCTGTCATTTATATTAATTATTTGCTGCAATGTAATTATTAATTTGCAATTTTTGCAGGTTTCATAAAAATTTACGCAGAAACAAAATAGTCATTGCTATTTATTGGATACAAAATTCATGTCTGAAACTTTACCATAACGTGTAGGTACCACGTTCGTGCATTAAAATAATGAAACGCAAGAAGTTTTGTGTTTCTGGCCTTTGTTTACACTAATCGCAGAAATGGCTACACCCAATGCCAGTGTAATGATTCCTCGTGGGGCATCTGAATATAAACAAAAACTACGTCGTTTGCTTTGTTTCCTCTTAATATCCGAGAGGGTTGAATACAAGTCAGAGCAGGGTTTAAAGCGATTATCAGCGAGAGTTGAATACGAGCAACGGTTACTTAAGCTTTCAAATCTTTCGGACTTCTCGATTTCCGAAGTCCAGCAAAACATCGCATGGTTATACAATTAAAGTAGAATATCAATGTGGTAGCATCTAACGATATAAGTACTACGAATAGAGTTCACAATATTAATATTTTTTTGCGCGTTTTTAATTTTTAATCATAGAGCGCAAATGCAATAGTCACTATGAAAATTGCATCGCCTGATGGCACTACGATTTTTGACGTTCAACTTCGTGCAAAACCCTCAAAAGTCGGTTCGATAATACGGATTCGGCACGCACGCAGCTCGGACTCGAAACGGTGTAGCGTGAACCATCCTTAAAGCAGTTCATCGTGCCGAGTCCTCATCATTATTTAAGTTTTTTTGTTAAGCGTCAGTAATAATTCTTAATAATCATTATTAGGATTGTAATTATTATGACTAGAAATTAAACTCGAAACGGTGTAGCGTGAAACATCCTTAAAGCAGTTCATCGTGTCGAGTCCTCATCATTATTTAAGTTTTTTGTTAAGCGTCAGTAATAATTCTTAATAATCATTAGTAGGATTGTAATTATTATGACTAGCAATTAAACGAGATCTTTGTTTGAAATATATATTTTTTGTTTTTACATCTATTTATATGTGTTAATTTATATTCCACTTACTGTGGTGATCCAGTTGCGAAGAGCAGGAACGCGAGAATACACACCGTAGTAATTAGGACGGGCGCATCCACGTCCCCAAGAGACAATACCAACTTGACCATAACCACTTGCTACTAATGGACCGCCGGAATCACCCTGTATATTAAAATACAACAGTTAAGGATGATAAAGCAAGAAAACGAAAAGTATGCCACGTATAAGTAGGTAGTACTAGTAGGAGTAATAACTACTGCAAAAGGCCTTATGCAGCCAGGAAGAAAAAGGAGAGAGGGAGGCATTAGGACACCTGCTGGAAGTTGAAGGATTAGTTAGAGACATATTGGAAGCAGAAATGGATCCGTTCTTTGGAAATAGGAAAAACGACGTTATAATGATGACTAAATATACCTGGCAAGCATCACGACCTCCAGAAGTTAAACCTGCACAGAGCATGGTAGAGGTTATTCTATTTCCATAGCTGCTACGACACTCATTATTAGTGACAATTGGTACGGTAACACCTCGAAGTCGGGAACTTCCATTTCCGTCTTCTACAGTATCTCCCCATCCAGTTGTTACAGCATTGGTGCCGGAAGGAATATTAACGTTTGGTGACGGCAAATCAACTGCATTAATTGTACCTCCAAACGTCAAAGCAGATTGTAACGCTATGAGTGCAATATCGTAGCCAGAAGAGCTTGCACTAGTGTAGCTTCCATGAACGTAAATGTTGCCAGCCGCTCTTGTAACGCCACCGGAGTATCGGTAGTTCGATCCTGCGCGGATGGAGTATCGCGAAACGGTATTCCTGAGAAAAAGTAAAATTTTCTGTTATGAAATTAGATCATATGCTTGTGAAATGGAAAAATAGCTTTTGTCTAACATTTCACAATAATTATTCACACATAAGGGAGGTACTTACGATGTAATACAATGTGCAGCTGTAAGAATCCACGAATGGCTTATAATTGATGCACCACAAATTTGAGAGGAAGAATACAGCAGAGCAACCTGATAAGGATAATCGCTTATATCAACCTCTGAGCCTCCTACAATTCTGCCAAATGACGGGATTCTTTCAGCATTGGAAGGAACTGACTCTTCATCAAAAGGAAGTGACGCCGCAGCATTAGAAGGAATTGATGCTGCATTAATGAAATTGGAAAATCCTGGAAAAAATTATCCTGTAGTACTTAATTTCAACCTATCAGCTTCTTATTGAACGAAGGTTTGTGGGTGTTTATTAAGGAAGGATTATTAAGGATATTATTAAACCAATAAACTAGGGTAATTTAAAAAATTGACCCAAAATCTCAAAAACTGAAAAAGTCATCATCAAAATCATTTAGTCCAAACTTTAGTAAGACAAACATAAAATTATTTATAGTTAAAACTAATTACCCCTGTACAAAACTTAATAATGATCGGTTGAGTATTTAAGGCGTAAAATGGTAGCAAATAATCAAACAAACAGTAATACTGGTTAGGATAACTAAACCAACTACAATCTTACCCAAAAGGGAAAATACCAAGCATGCAACAATTGTGGGCTTCATTTTCTTGAAAGCGGACTCTCAACTGCAATTAATTTCGATTGGATAATTCCTTAAATAGTCCTCCTTATTGCGTTCTTTNGAAAATACCAAGCATGCAACAATTGTGGGCTTCATTTTCTTGAAAGCGGACTCTCAACTGCAATTAATTTCGATTGGATAATTCCTTAAATAGTCCTCCTTATTGCGTTCTTTAGAGATAACTTTAATCAAAAATGCCAGAAATAAAGAAACAGGATGTCGTTACAAACATTCATTCATTAGAGATAAAGATCATTAGATGATTGATTTATGTCATTAGTCATTTTTATAAAGTACAATTATAATAACATGAACCCTTAAGATCATGAATTTCAGTTTTCTAAGCAATTTTTGATACTTATGTATTGTTCTATCAATCTTTTATCGCTTTCAACTGGATAGATACCTTTACCTATTGATGAATGGATTGCTTTTTCTGTGATTGATCGTTTATTAGATATCGCAGAATGTGCATTTTTTTGTAGATACTACTACAGTGATAAAAATTTACATGGATTATGATATTGGTCTACCACAACATATACAGGGGCAGCGTAATAAATGACACAAAACTAGTAACTATTAGGGTGAGTAAGAACGGTCACACATTTCACCAACCTAACTCACTTTTAACTCGCTCCTGGTGATTACCCTAGACAAAAATTTTCAGTCTCTCAGAGCATTTCAGTCTTTCAGTGTCTCTGAGAGCGTTTTTATAGATCTCTCTCAGTCTCTGTATGAGAGACTCGAACGATAAAATTGTTAATTAAGAGATTCGAGTCTCTCATAGAGAGACTGAATGAATAAAACTGAAAAATTGAGAGACTCGAGTCTCGCGTAGAAAGACTGGGATCTCTGAAATATGTTGAACCTATAAAATTTTAACCATATCTATCGAGACACCACTTATTGAGAGATTCGAGTCTCTCATTCAGACCGGATACGAAATGAGGATCTCTCTACGAGCGACTCGAGTCTCTCGTTCAGAGACGGTAAACAAGTTTTTTGACGGTCTCTTTCATCTACACCAGAGAGACTCGATGAGAGACGGAGACTGGAGTCTCGCTTTCAGAGACTCGGAGAGACTGAACATTTTTATCTCGGGTAATTGCTCGATCTTTTCTAATTTCATAATAATAATATGTAATGTATGTACTAATAAGTGTGCTACTGACCTAAGCGGAAATTTATGTATACTACGAAAGAAAAAATTTAAAAGAGGAATGTTTATTAGAAATAATTTTGAATAACATACTTTTTATCCAAAATTAGACAAAAGTAGTTACATTGAAATCTATCTGCGTTACCATAGTGAGACACAAGAGTTTCCCCTCTTGTTGCGTGAGGGGTTAAAACCCATAAATATATTAAAGCCAGCTCGTATTACCGTCTAGTTCTATCTATTAAATGGTTATATAATTAAAGTAGAATATCAATGTGGTAGCATCTAACGATATAAGTACTGCGAATAGAGTTCACAATATTAATATTTTTTTGCGCGTTTTTAATTTTTAATCATAGAGCGCAAATGCAATAGTCACTATGAAAATTGCATCGCCTGATGGCACTACGATTTTTGACGTTCAACTTCGTGCAAAACCCTCAAAAGTCGGCCTATGTTCGATAATACGGATTCGGCACGCACGCAGCTCGGACTCGAAACGGTGTAGCGTGAACCATCCTTAAAGCAGTTCATCGTGCCGAGTCCTCATCATTATTTAAGTTTTTTTGTTAAGCGTCAGTAATAATTCTTAATAATCATTATTAGGATTGTAATTATTATGACTAGAAATTAAACGAGATCTTTGTTTGAAATATATATTTTTTGTTTTTACATCTATTTATATGTGTTAATTTATATTCCACTTACTGTGGTGATCCAGTTGCGAAGAGCAGGAACGCGAGAATACACACCGTAGTAATTAGGACGGGCGCATCCACGTCCCCAAGAGACAATACCAACTTGACCATAACCACTTGCTACTAATGGACCGCCGGAATCACCCTGTATATTAAAATACAACAGTTAAGGATAATAAAGCAAGAAAACGAAAAGTATGCCACGTATAAGTAGGTAGTACTAGTAGGAGTAATAACTACTGCAAAAGGCCTTATGCAGCCAGGAAGAAAAAGGAGAGAGGGAGGCATTAGGACACCTGCTGGAAGTTGAAGGATTAGTTAGAGACATATTGGAAGCAGAAATGGATCCGTTCTTTGGAAATAGGAAAAACGACGTTATAATGATGACTAAATATACCTGGCAAGCATCACGACCTCCAGAAGGGAAACCTGCACAGAGCATGGTAGAGGTTATTCTATTTCCATAGCTGCTACGACACTCATTATTAGTGACAATTGGTACGGTAACACCTCGAAGTCGGGAACTTCCATTTCCGTCTTCTACAGTATCTCCCCATCCAGTTGTGATAGCATTGGTGCCGGAAGGAATATTAACGTTTGGTGACGGCAAATCAACTGCATTAATTGTACCTCCAAACGTCAAAGCAGATTGTAACGCTATGAGTGCAATATCGTAGCCAGAAGAGCTTGCACTAGTGTAGCTTCCATGAACGTAAATATTGCCAGCCGCCCTTGTAACGCCACCGGAGTATCGGAAGTTCGATCCTGCGCGGATGGAGTATCGCGAAACGGTATTCCTAAAGAGAAATTTTTTGTTATAAAACTGGCTCACATGCTTGTGAAATGGAAAAAAGCTTTTGTCTAACATTTCACAATAATTATTCACACATAAGGGAGGTACTTACGATGTAATACAATGTGCAGCTGTAAGAATCCACGAATGGCTTATAATTGATGCACCACAAATTTGAGAGGAAGAATACAGCAAAGCAACCTGATAAGGATAATTGCTTATATCAACCTCTGAGCCTCCTACAATTCTGCCAAATGACGGGATTTTTTCAGCATTGGAAGGAACTGGCTCGCCATCAAAAGGAAGTGACGCCGCAGCATTGGAAGGAATTGATGCTGCATTGATGTAATTGGAAAATCCTGGAAAAAATTATCCTGTAGTACTTAATTTCAACCTATCAACTTCTTATTGAACGAAGGTTTGCGGGTGTTAACCATTAATTCATTAAGAATATTATTAAACCCATAAATAAGGGTAATCTAAAAAATTGACCCAAAAACTGAAAAAGTAGTAAATCCTTTATTACAAACTTTAGTTAGACACATATAATATTATTTATAGTTTATATTACCCCTGTACAAAATTTAATATTGATCGGTTAAGTATTTAAGGCGTGAAATGGTAGCAAACAAACAAACAAACAATAATACTGGTTAGAATAACTAAATCAACTACAATCTTACCCAAAAGGGAAAATACCAAGCATGCAACAATTGTGGGCTTCATTTTCTTGAAAGCGGACTCTCAACTGCAATTAATTTCGATTGGATAATTCCTTAAATAGTCATCCTTATTGCGTTCTTTAGAAATAACTTTAATCAAAAATGCCAGAAATAAAGAAACAGGATGTCGTTACAAACATTAATTCATTAGAGATAAAGATCATTAGATGATTGATTTATACCATTAGTCATTTTTATAAAGTACAACGAATTATGATATTGGTCTACCACAACATATACAGGGGAAACGTAAGTGATGCCACAGAACTAGTAACTATTAGGGTGAGTGAGAACAGTCACCCATTTCACCAACCTAAGTCACTTCTAACTCGCTGCTAGTGATTAATTGCTTCATCTTTTCTAATTTCTTAATAATAATATGTAATATGTACTAATGAGTGTGTACTCCTGGCCTAAATGGGAATTTATGGAATTTACCCAAAATTAGGCAAAAGTAGTTACATTGAAATCTATCAATTCGGTCTGGAACTGCGTTACCATAGTGAGACACAAAAGTTTCCCCTCTTATTGCGTGAGGGGTTAAAACCCATAAATATATTGAAGTCAGCTCGTATTACCGTCTAGTTCTATCTATTAAATGGTTCTTAAACGTAATTCTTATCTTTTACTAGACGTAAAATCTATTTTCGCTATTTCAAGTTATCTGATCTGGCTTCCCATTTTGCCGGGGCTGATATCAGTTTTACCCTCGGTCGGGAAGTCCTCTTTGCCTTTAATTACGCCTTTGCTCCATTTGAAGTGTGATAAAAAGCGCATAAATCACCCTTGTCTAATTATTTTCGTTGCCTTTGCCAGAAATATAAAGACGTATTTCTTAGCACATGTGCTTGTTGCATGTTTTATATACCACCACCACCACCAATGCCAGAAGGGTGCGTTAATGGATAGGGTGGAATGTCGCAGGAGTTGTGATCAAATTCAAATAATCTCGTTCTAAGTGAGTGACGTCGAGGGTGATAACAAGAGAGCTACAGTAATTCGAAATTGCTATTTAACATCGAGAACCTTTTAGCATCTGACATATAAAAGGGGTATTTTACAGACAGGAACTATATTTTAACGGAAGTTATTTTCTACATGAGTAATGCAATAATAACATTAACGTATGTATGTACCAGACTTAATTCATTGATTCTGACAGTGACTTCTGAATGTTCCATCGAACTTCAATGGATTTTAAATTAACTGAAATATAAGTGGATTTTGAATTCATTTATACGTCAATGGAACACCGGTAAATTTTTAGAATAAAAATATCTTTATGATACAAATTAGTAGCTTGTCGATAATGTACATTCATAATATCAATAGAATTCCTTTTCCAATTTAAGTCAGTGTGTTATCCAGAATAGAGTGTGTGCCTGGTTGAGAAATATGCGTAAATTCCACATGTGTAATTTATCGTATTACTGATTGTTGTTTTAGATTGAGATATGTGATTTTGTACAGTTTTGATTTTAGATTTATTTTGTTTCTTCAACTAAGGGTATATAATTTTTGAATTTTGTGTATATATGCTTTTATTCATGATTTTCAGTTTTTAGGATAGAAATAAGTATTAGATAGGTCGTTTTTGTTTCCTTGTAAGTGAGAGATGTTAGGCCTTGTTGTTATTGTTCTTCCTGTAATTATGTCTCTGTCTCAGAAGAATTTGGCTACATCGATGGAGGCGTTAGGACACCTGCTGGGAGTTGAAGGATTAGTTAGAGACATATTGGAAGCAGAAATGGATCCTTTCTTTGGAAATAGGAAAAACGACGTTATAATGATGACTAAATATACCTGGCAAGCATCACGACCTCCAGAAGGGAAACCTGCACAAAGCATGGTAGNGATGTTAGGCCTTGTTGTTATTGTTCTTCCTGTAATTATGTCTCTGTCTCAGAAGAATTTGGCTACATCATCATCTAGTACATTTTGTAAAGTAAGCACAATCTTTCCTTGCAATCTATATATATTTTATTTATATGTACATAAATTCACAAAAGGTATTTATAATCCATTTACTGAGTTGATCCATCCTCGAAGAGCAGGAACGCTAGAATAAACTCCGTAGAAATTAGGACGGGCGCATCCAACTCCCCACGAAACAATACCAATTTGGCCGTAACCACTTGCTACCAAAGGTCCACCTGAATCACCCTGGAAGTACAATAAATAATGAAATGTAACAATTAAAAAAAAAAGTTAAAATGTAGTAAGAATTTTGAACTGAAAGCCAAGTGCTGAAGTGGGAAAACTTTCGGAAGTGTTGGACAGCAACGAACAGAAAATAGGTGTAAATAGAAGTAGAAGAAAGGTTGGTTTAGAAATGGTAAGGTATTGGATAGAGTAGTAAAAGAATGGGTGCTACAGAAGGCAATAACAAAAAGGAGAGGACTTCTTTTGAGACTTGAAGGGCTAACTAGAGACATAAGAAGCAGAAATGCTAGTAAATAAATAGTTCTGGAGGTGGGATATTTTAACTAGAGATGATTAGTAAGTAAAAGTAAAACAGAAATATTGGTATGCAAGGGAAGAACAAGTAGGGGAAGAACGAATCTAAGGTTAGGGGACGAAAAATTAGAAGAAGTGACTGATTTTTGATATCTAGGAAGTCACATAACTCAGGATGAAAGGAGCGGTAGAGTTATAAACCAGAAGATAGCGCAGGGCCGATTGACTTCTATGCCTGTGAACGGTTAATTTTGAAAATCGAAAAAGATTGTTAAAGGTGTATATCTGGCATGCGGCTCTTAACGAGTGCGAAACATGGACAGTGGACGCAGCAGAAAAGAAAAGTTTAGAAACGTTCGAAATGTGGTGTTACAGACGAATTATAAGGAGAGAGAAGGTTAAAAATGGGGAGGTGTTAGAAATAGTAGTACGGAATTCAATAAGAAATAGTCGGGATAGGTTGGTAGGATACCTTTTCAGGCAAGGAGGGCTAATTATAGACATGTTAGAGGCAGAAACAGAACTTAAAAGGAGTATACGTAAACCTGGATTAGATAACTTTTTACAAATACTTAAGTATGTGGGATTTTTTATACGAAGATTAACTCAGGATAGGAATGAGTGAAGGTGCGAGTTCAACCAGTCTTAAGACTAACAACCTTATGATGATAATGAGGGAACATTGGCTGAGAATATAAAGAAATGTTCGAGAAATATTCGGGCTGACAACCCTATGACGTGACGACCTTAATAATAATGAAATATACCTGGCAAGCGTCACGGCCTCCCTCAGCGAAACCTGCGCAGATCATGTTTGCGGTTATACTACTAGTTCCATAGCTGCTTCGGCATTCAGACGCGGAAACAACTGGTACGGTAACACCTCGAAGTCGGGAACTTCCATATCCATCTTCCACGGTATCTCCCCATCCAGTCGTTATGGCATTGGTACCAGCTGGAATATTAATGTTTGATGCTGGCAATTCAACAGCTTCAATAGTGGCTCCAAACGTCAAAGCGGATTGTAACGAAATGAGTGAGATGTCAAAGTCTGCGGTGCTCGCACTATACCTTGCATGGACGTAGATGTTACCAGCTGTTCTTGTAACGCCACCAGAGTATCGAAAGTTCGATCCTGCGCGGATGGAGAATCGCGAAACGGTACTCCTAAAGAACGACCAATAATACGATAGTTAAAAGTGAACTAAATGCGAAATAATTACAGAATTAGTTAGATGTTTTAAAAATTTAGTTTTTTTATACAAAACTTTATAGATAATAATAAATTTTAAATGTTTATATATTAATAGCATACAAGTGCATAATTGGTACCTCTGTGGACTCAACATACTCTATGTATTGTTACCCGATAATAAAAAAAATAATAATTTGGGATTATGGATCTCATGAATGAGTTAGTTATAATTACTCATTCCTACCTTCGATAATAAAGTAAAGTTAGTAAAGTCTTATTTTACAATTATTCATCGACGTATATAAGTATGAGAATGTTAACTTACGATGTAATACAATGTGCAGCTGTAAGAATCCACGAATGGCTTATGATTGATCCACCGCAAACTTGGGACGAGGAGTACAGCAAAGCAATCTGATAAGGATAATCATTAATATCAACCTGCGAACCTCCTACAATTCTGCCAAACGATGGGATTGATGATTCAACAGAGGGAACAGGCTTTGCATCGAAAGAAACTGACTCTATATCGGAAGTAATTACTCGTACGTCGGAAGGAAGTGATTGTACATCTACGGGAATTGATGCTGCATTGATGGTATTGAAATATCCTACAAAAAAATGTCCTGTTACTTATATACAATTTGCAGCTTTGAACATCTAACTGAAAGAAAATTTGTTACTAATTATATTAACATAAATGGGGCTGCTCTAAAAAATTGGCCCAAAATCTCAGTCACTAAATCCAAATTTTGCGGTTAGAGACGTACATAATTTATTTAATTAGCTACATTCTTACCCAAGAGGGAAAATATCAAGCATGCACCAATTATTGGATTCATTTTATTGATGGTGGACCCTCAGCTGCAGTGGACTCATACTGGATCCATTGCTTTAAAGAGTTTCTCTAATACGTCATTTGGAGATTATTTTTATCAAATGCTTAAGCTAAGTCTTAGTAACTATTCATTTATTAACGATAGAGATTATTAAAAGATTAATTGTTCTCGTCAGTCATCTTTCCTGATTGATTGTATCTGATCGGTAGACATCTCGAAAATTACAACGTACATCGCTGATATTATTTAAGATAAATAATTTTGGAAACGACATCAGATCTTAACAAATTTTTTCAGTAAAAATACAATATTTTAGTACTTGTTTTTTTTATTATTATTATTACCTGTACTAGCAATATACATATCGTGTTTTCTATATTACTATTAGAGACTTCGATGTTTAACTGCTACTTCTTGGATTGTTTCGTATGAACAATGTTAATGACGTAAACGATATCTTTGACTAGTTTTGTAATAGTTACCTACAAATTGGTTATTTAAATCTATTTTGTCAAAAATTGTACCTCTGCTTCTCCTAGTAAAATTGTTATACACAAAAAAAACATTGAAAGGTTAATAAAACTATAGATTTGACCTTTATTTTCATTCTTGATATTAAAAAATATTTCTTTAGGAGAAGGTAAACTTACGAGGGTGGATTGATAAGTTTCCGGCCTAACCAAGAGATGACGCCACTAGGCCTACCTTGAGGTGACATTCTATAGTACCATCCTTGGATAGCTTGTAGCTATAGTTTCAGCCCGATCTCCTTGCTAGTGTAGGTTTGACAGCACGCTGAACAAGACGCCTCTGTGGTTTTCGTAAAAATGGAAAAGCAGGAAAATCGTGCTGTCATCAAATACTTTTATTTGAAGGGGTTAACGCCGAAGGAAATTAAAAAAGAGATGGACTCAACACTGGGGACATCCTCCCCGTCATATTCAACCGTTAAGCAGTGGGTTTCCGAGTTTAAAAAGGGTCGTGTGAGCACCTCTGATGGGCCTCGCTCAGGACGCCCCGTTGAGGTCACAACTCCAGATATGATCGAAAAAATTCATCAAATAGTGCTGGGAGACCGCAGATTGAAAGTGCGTGAGATAGCTGAGACCTGTAAGATGTCATATGAACGTGTGCAACATATTTTGCACCAACATTTGCATATGGAAAAGCTCTGTGCAAGATGGGTGCCGCGTTTGCTAACAGTCGACCAAAAATTGATTCGAAAAAACATTTCTACCGCAAATTTGTCATTGTATAAGCGTAATCCAAGCGAATTTTTGCGTCGATTCGTAACCGTTGACGAAACGTGGGTCCACCACTACACTCCTGAAACCAAAGAACAGTCTAAACAGTGGATTGGACCAGGGGAACCAACTCCAAAGAAGGCAAAAACAATTTTTTCGGCGAACAAGGTTATGGCTACTGTTTTTTGGGATGCAAGAGGTATTATATACATTGATTACCTTGCAAAGGGTAATACTATCACTGGTCAATACTACGCAGACTTATTGCAACGTTTGAGCCACGAGGTGAAAATTAAACGACCTCATCTGGCGAAGAAAAAAATCTTGTTTCATCACGATAACGCACCAGCGCACACGTCAATCGTTGCGACGGCTAAAATCAACGATCTAAAGTTTGAATTGATGCCGCACCCTCCTTACTCTCCAGACCTAGCCCCGAGTGACTATTTTCTGTTCCCTAATCTCAAAAAATGGCTTGGCGGTAAGAGATTTGCGGACAATGAAGAAGTAATCGAAGCTGTAAATGGTTATTTTGAGGAGCTTGACGAATCAGTCTATAGAGATGGCATTAATAGACTGGAACACCGCTATGAGAAATGTATCAGCCTTGGAGGAGATTATGTTGAGAAATAAAAAAAAAAAATTTTTAAAAACCTTGTTTTTCTTGGTCAGGCCGGAAACTTATCAATCCACCCTCGTAATTATATTTCATTTGATGTACCTACATCATACGAAAAATATCGTCCAAATTGGAATGTCACTTAAATAAAGTAGAGTTTTCATTAGATGAGCTGTAGAATTCCATTGAGCTTTTCCCCTTCCAGTGTATACAATTTAATTCGAAATATTGCAAGAGTGGAAGAATAAAGCACAAATATATAAGTGTATGTCTATTCGTTTTGCGTGCCCCTGAAGTCTAGACTAACTAAATTTATCACGGTCGAAATATTAGGCTAGAAGTTAGAAGACTGTTTTTCAGTTGTAATTTTTTTATCTTTTTCTATGCTATAACTTTATGTTTTCCGTTCGGGAATTCCAAAAAAGCTCTTCTGTTTCAGTAATTGTGTTGGCTTATTGTTTATGCTGGACAGAGTCACTGTTAAATTAGTTCATATGTAGTATACTTAAAATCTTCAAACTCCTATTCAAGAACAATTCATTTGCCACTTGGGCTTTGAAATTCTGTTGCTTGAATTCGAACATGATAGTCATATGGTCTTGCCACAATTTCAGGTTTTAAAATGATTGTATAGTCAAAAGTTATCTACCTAAAGATGATAGGTAAGAAGACTGATTAAAAGTAAGTTCCATGTATTAATCTAGTTTATAGATACTTTCTCATAAAAAGCTAATTTGGAAAGTAGGTGTATGAAGTTTTAATTATGGCGACATTCAAGCAATAAATCGTTACATCCTACTTACAAACCAATTTTTTTGGCTTGCAGGTATAAAAGGAAATGGACACTTGTGTTTCGATAAATATCAAATCAATCAAAATCAAAAGTAAATATAGTGAATCGCTTGCAATATCACAATAAAATACAGTCATAATCAGTAACACTTGAACTCAATTTGTCTTTACTGATAAAAGTATAAAAGGAACTATTATGCAGATAATAAGAACCCTTATTTTGCCTTTTATTATGTACTATTAGGTCGATTATAAATGTGCTATACTTCATTTACTTTTTCTAGCGAGGTGCTCCTTCCAATATCTTGGTTTCGCGCTGACAAAATAGTAGGTAGAGAGAAAAAAGCTCATTATACTCTCGACTCTTGTTCATTAAACATAGTTTTTCATACAGTACCTGTTAAAAGTATTGTTACATTATGAATAGTAGTGCGAGTCGAAATCAATCGTTAAAGCCTTTAATATATCTTCAAATATAAATAAACATCTCGTTGATATTTTCAGTAGTAATTGGTACCAATAACAGCACATTTGAGCAATGCAATTTTAGTGGATAGAATGGTCAATTTTTCCGTGCAGTACTGTACGGATTATACGCTCCTCACCGGTTAAGAGTTGGACCGAGAGTTGTCTCCTTTCTTTTCTGGCCTAGTGCTGTTCTTTTCTACTTTGCGCCGGTCAAACTAAAGGTCACATCGCTAGAGAAACTAAACGAAGTATAACTATTGAAAACGTAGAAACGAAATAAGCAGTAAAATATTATAAAAACAAATAACTTGAAACATGGAAAAAGAAAAGGTTAAAAGCTTTCGAAATGTGGTGTTACAGGCGAATGATGAGGATACCGTGGATGAAGAAGGTTAGAAACGAAAAGATATTAGAAAGTATAGGAGAACAGAGGACTCTGTGGAAGTCATAAATAAATAGGCGAGATAGTTTCGTAGAATAGCTTCTCAGGCATGAAGGTATCTAGTCAGAGACATATTAGAGGCAGAAAGGGAGTTAGGAGGGGTAGAGGTAAACCTAAATTAGATTCCTGTTTGCAAATAGTTAAGGATATGGGTTGTTCTAGAGAGAAATGCGAATATTAGCTGAAGATAGGAAGGATTGGAGGTGCGTGTCCAACCAGTCTCAGGACTGACGACCTTATAATGATGATAATGAACTTATTAATTTCAATATTACTATGTATGTATAGTAACTTAAAAAAAATCGAGTTTAAAATCAATGAAGTAGAAAAATCAACTTTAAAAACTGTTGGCTGAATAATTGCGTCAATTTGTGAATGACGTCTTTGGGCTCTCTGAACTGTTGATATAAACAGGAACTTCATCCTGCTCCGGTGGTCTATTAAATTTTGCTCATTTTCAGCATTTCAAGGTGAATATCCTAACAATACGTATCAACATTTTGAACGACAAGGTGACTGAGAATTTCTGGCGTCGACGTTCTGTTTAGAACATTCCGAGAAAGGCTGTGGGATGCATTATGTGCTAGGTATCGGATCTTCATAGCAGTTACGCCATCATGCCTCTTTGTTACCATAACTCGAGAATTCCAACCGAAATAATTTAGTTTCAGATACAAGTCGGTTATAGAGAATTAAGCGAAACAATTTCGATCAAGTGATAGTTCACTGACTTCACGTCGTGATATTCATACAGTTTCACTCCCAGACAATTTTGCATTGTTTAGAACGTTTATACCAACTTATGAAATGTACAACAGTTTAATTAACCTTCCCATGATTATCAAATTCCTGAGCCCAAGTTTCTTTAGAAAACAGGTGAATTCCGCAGAACATAAAAAAATCTATCTATCTATGAAAAGGTACGAGTTATTGCCTTGTAATTGTAGCTAATGTTGAGTTTTTTGGAATGTCTTGACGATGTATTTTTTACCAGATTCCAACAGTTTGTTAAAGGTGAGCGTAACAGTTTATATATAGTTTTATTAAAAGACAAAGTAGAAGCATATGATGACTTTGATTGAATATTTACTTTAAAATGTTATATAGATGCTTCAAATTCATTGACGGGTATTGATTTCTTACTGGATTATTTTGTCATCTACAAAAATAAAAACTATGAAAAATGAAAGTTATGAGTGTCGTGTTTTTATAAAACTATATACCTTCGAATAATCTTAATCTATTATCTCCAGTTATTTCAAATAAAATGGTTCATTATTAAACTAATACTGAATTACATTATTATGTGGTCATCTTCAGTATTACCATGTACTGTAAACAGTAAACACTCAAAGCTGCCATTTCGGTAGTACCCCGAGCGCCTTAGTACTTAGTAACTCAGATCACAGATGTCGCGGTAGTGCAAGTAGTTAAGCGGTAGGATGAAAAATGGTTATTTCTGTAAATGTAGAATCGTGATGATGTGTCAGCAAATTTTTATTGTAGTGTTTAAAAAGCAGATATTAAGTAGTCTGTGAATCTGTAGAACAATTTAAAGAAAGCCTTTAATGAGATTTTCCAATAAGAAAGTAAATGGATGAAAGGTGTTCTCATTCAGACTTAACAAAAGAATGTTTTCGTTGGTGATGGCACAGTATCTCTATATTCCTTACAGTTCCAGTAGTTATATTAAATGCATTTGTTGAAGGTGCTTGTAGGCGAAAAATGTATGCATATTACGTAGAACCATTCTTTACTGACGATACTCCTTTTCTAGACAGTTAATCCTCCAGCAAAATTGGATTTAACGTTACTGCAACGACGATGTTATTTGGAAGGTGAAGCAAAATCTTACACTTTACAAAGCATTTTTGAAACTAAACAACCTCTGCCTCGAGTTATAATAAAAGTTTACAACATCGCGCTCCTCGCGTGCGGTGCTTTCGCATATAACGTTTGTCTCTCAGAAGCGTAAGTTTGCTTTTTAAACCAGGAACGGTGGATCGAGTAACTATGCAATCCTATTAATTCAAAAATTATGAAAAATATTTCTCAGCACAATTCATAAGAAGATAACAATTTCTTTTGAGCTTTCATCCTTAGTTGACGATTTCTCTTCGTAAAGTGCACTGTACAGTAGAAAATATAATGTAAATATTTACAATCCGTATAATGATTTTATGTTTTCATGCCACAATTGCTGATAGTTAAAATGAAAATTAACGTTTTTTTGTTTTCAATAATTGTATTACTTCTGATTTTTCGCGTTTCAGTCGTATAACCAGGCCAGCCTTAACAAGAATATAAAGTTTCACCAAGATGACTTAGTCAATCTATAAAACAATGAAGACTAAAGGTCTAAAGGCCATCGTTAGTTGGAGTTAGTTTCCTAACGTTTCGCTAAAAGCACGAATATTAACCTTCTTGAGACGTCCTTCCATCTCCTATATAGATATCCAGCAACGTAAATAACTCCAACCAACGACATCCTTTAGACCCGAACCGGGACAGTATGCGAAAATCTTTGCCAATTTGACTGAAGATTCAGTTGTTTCTGGCATTTTTATAAGAAGTATATTAATCTACCTAATACTGCATTCTTTAATTTTGTTATATGTAACGAGAAATACAAACAAAATTAAAATATAAAATTGTAGATGCAATTGTCGCATTTAAACATTTCAAATGTACGAATTCAACGGAAGCGCTTGATTGATTAATTAATTCATCAGTAAATTGGATGGTCGATGTCGTGCAGTAAATTTTAAATAATATGAACGTTTTTATCCGAAAAATCTATCGAGATTCAGTGCGTCACAATAGGGCTGAAACAGCTTTTAAAACGGAGTAGAAAAAAGTTCAACGAAGAGATATAAAAGACATTAATCAAAATTTCCGGTAAAATTTATTTCACTTCCATAAATTTATAGTAACGATGATAATATATGATTTCACCAGCCTCATAGTGAAAATAACGCTGCCGTAGATCACTTATTTTCATTTGAACAAGCGTCATAAATCTAATGATTTTATTGTAATAATGAACAGGATCAATCGGACAAAAAAAAAACTGAAGGAATTAAGTTTTTGCTTAGCAATAATAATCTTAGTAGCACACTTTCTTTCATGTTAAGGTATTGCAATAAAATTAGGCACCATAAATTGCTATAATAGTACTCATGTTATGAAAGAATATCAATTACTAATTTACCTGATGAGGATTCATTATTTGGAACTCATTAGTCGTTCTAATTAGCCCAGCATAAATCACCGACCAAACTGATGTTGTATAGTACAAGCGAATCGAGCAATATCAAGTTATTGGTAATATATCCCCAACTATTAATATTTACTGCTTAACTACAGCATTTAATCAGTATGTAGCGAGCACGAGTGTGTTTGTGTGCGATCGGGTACACGTGTGCGGGAACGGCTTGTCGATTCGCCGACTAGCCGCGGGCGCCTTTCTTCATGTGCGCCGTATTTGTAAACGTGTGTGTCGTACTTGCGTTTTGGGAAAGCAGTTAAACAGTTCAAAGAAAAATAAACTATATGGATGTTTCCAGAAGGTTCCAGAATGTAAACGAAAGAGTATTTAGAGGAAGAGACGATCGCCGAAAGGAAGAAGAAATAATTAGACCGTTGCAGAACTGAATCCAGAAATAAATTGACAGTGACAACAGTGAAATAAATAGCGCAGTAAATTAGGGATATATTAACGTTAGTGAAAATAAATAGTTCTTTTTTGTCGTTATCAGTCTTAAAAGTTAATTTTGTTAAACCCACGAACATCACAAGTATATGACAATACGCTGCTAATAATTCGATATTCATCACCTTACCAGGTTGGTAATTTATTAAAATCACTTACAAAAAATTAAACCAGATCATTGCTTGCAATACGTTTAATTTGTTTTTACATGAATTTGTAGTAAGTATCCATTTACCTATATTCCACTTACTGAACTGATCCATCTTCGAAGAGCAGTAACACGAGTATAAACCCCGTAGGAATTAGGGCGAGCGCATCCACGTCCCCATGAAACAATACCAATTTGGCCATAACCGTTTACTACCAATGGTCCACCCGCATCACCCTGCACATTAAAATACAAATAATTAATGAAAGTAAAAAGCAAACGGTAATATACGCTAAGAGTACTGAACAGATAGCAAAGGTTTAAGCTACTGAATCAATAATCGAAAATCTATTTAGTGACTTGTAATTTGCGTTTAAAACCGTAAATTGTATGTCACAATTTCACAATAAAAAGAAAACGTAATAAGCGATTACGTTTCTTATAGGTACCTTCATTCCTTCCTATTCTGAGCTAATCTTCGCATTTCTCTAAAACTAGAACATCCCTCATCCTTAACTATTCGCGAAGAGTAATCTAATCTAGGTCTACCTCTACGCCTCCTAACTCCTGTTTCTGCCTCTAATATGTCTCTGACTAGACCTTCATGCCTGAGAAAGTGTCCTACCAACCTATCTCGCCTATTTCATATTGACTTCCATAGAGTCCTCTGTTCTCCTATTCTTTCTAATTCCTCTTCATTTCTAACCTTCTCTATATACGATACCCTTATCGTTCTATCTCTAACTCCTCCTTGCTAGATGCTAATACTGCTATATCATGCGCAAATCTAAACATACTAATCTTTAGCCCTTGTACGAGGGTGGATTGATAAGTTTCCGGCCTAACCAAGAGATGACGCCACTAGGCCTACCTTGAGGTGACATTCTATAGTACCATCCTTGGATAGCTTGTAGCTATAGTTTCAGCCCGATCTCCTTGCTAG